TCATAGAGTGTAACACTAAATCTGTTTTGGCCGGGAATAGGTTGGTCTTGTCAAATGGTAGATCTTCTACCTTTTGCTGCAGGTCTCTCAGAGCCCCTGATGCCTGTAGCCAAGATAGCAGGACAATGGTGGAGGCAGTGATACGAGCTGCAGTGTCTGCTACGTCCATAGTGGATTGTAGGATGGTATGGGAGATATTATGACCCTCCTGCATGATATTCAACAGGGCTGGTTGCTTGTGTTCGGGGAGGTGTGGGAGAAGGTCCTGCAGGTTGGAGTAATTAGTACGGTTGTAATCTGCGAGCATGGCAGTGTAGTTTGATGCTCTAAGTAGCAGAGGTGAAAACTTTATGGCCCATGATGTCAACTTTTTTCTGACCTCAGTCTTGTGGGGTATTTCTGAAATTAAGCTGTTTACTCTTATGCCGAGCAGAGTCCACCACTAATGAATTCAGAGGGGGATGAGTAAAGAGAAAATCCATATCTTTGGGAGCAATGAAATATTTGCGGTCAGCTCTTTTATTTTTGGGGGCAATAGAGGCCAGGGTTTACCAAATGACATTGGATGGGTCCATGATGGCTTCGTCCATGGGGATCGCTATCCTGGAGGCAGTTGGAGGATGCAACATATGCAGAAGTGGATAGTGCTTCACCTGGACCTTCTGGAGGTCTCGTCGTCGTGCCAAAGCCACCCTCTTGAACAGGTCTTGAAATTTCTTGGTGTCATCGCCTGGTGGTGGGGTTTCCGTTGTGACTGCATCATCTGGAGATGAGAATGAATTCCTCAGAAAGGAAGTCTTGTATGTCAGAATGAGGTGGAGAGGTCGGTTCAGTAATGGGAGCAGTAAGAGGATGGGGAGGCCGGTGGTGGCTTAGAAACAGTAGAAAGAGCACGATGGTGGTTCTTTTTTGGATGTGGCTCCCAACATTGCCATTGAGAGGCATACGGTGGTGGTGGGTAGGCGTACTGTTAAGCATACCATGGTGATGGAGAAGGAGCGTATGCTTACTGCACTGTGGCAGGGTGCCAGGATGGTGGTCTAGGTGTCGGACTGGAATGTTGTGAGGAAAATCTGCTTCTAGACCCGGTGCCTGTTTCACTTGGGGAATGAGACACCACAGAGGCTCGTCGAGACAGTACGGACTGAACAGAAGAGCCTGGTGGAAGCGGTGCCGTAGAAGTATGACTCTGTACGGGTGAAGGGTACCAACTGTGGCCTTCTTTCGATGCAGAATAGTGGTATCTAGATGATGCCGAGGACGGCAACAGTGCTGAGAGATCGTTGTAGATGGTGGGGGCACTGTAGGTGCCGAAGGTGATGGGGGCATGGCAATAGGCTTCGGGGCTGAGCGTTCAGGCGGCAGGGCATCAGTGCAGGCATCATTGACAGTTTAGAATGTTGTTTCAGTGCCATTCGGTCTGAACTTTGGCCTGCTGGTAAGGTCGGAATCTCGTGTGGCACCAGTGCCATAGGTTGCGGTGCCAGCTAGCCTCTGCTTGGGCTCTGAGTGGGTTCTCTTATGCATCTGCACCGACTTCCGTGGCACCGTGCCTGAAATTCCCGGTTTCTCTCCAGTGCTGACCCGTGCGGCTGTCGGTGCAGAGGGTAGTGAGGGAGTTGGGGAAAGACCTGTTTTCGAGGCTGTATGGCTGGAGTAGGTAGAGGGACGATTTTTATCCATACCCTTACGCCAGTCGTCCCCAACCATTTGGTGCTGCCAGGTGCCCTGGGGCGGGGCCATTCCTGTGCCCAGTGGCAGGCCACGCATGTACCACATGCCCAGGGGCGGGATCCCCCATGAGCTGCGTGCCTGGGGCCAGCAACCCCATGCACCACATGGCCGGGGGCGGGGCTGCTCATTTGCCGCAAGCCCGGGGCTGATGCTGCCCATTCACTACGTGCCCAGGGCCAGCACCCCCCATAGCTGTGCGCCCCGGGCCGGTGCGGTCAATTCTCTGCGTACCTGGGGCTGGCGCTGCACATGTGCAGCGCGCCCGGAATAGCACCATGTATGTGCCACGCGCCCAGGGAGCGGGGCTGACCCTGAGCACACAAATGCCCTGACAGCTGCCCGCGAGCACCATGTTGGGGACCACTGCCTTACTCTGTGCTGCTGGTTTAGGAGCCGCGGGAGAGTCCTCAGAAGAAGGGTGAACGGACTTCTCGTACAGTAGCATCTTGAGCCTATTGGCTCGGTCACAGCACGCTCTTGCAGTGAGTTTAAGGCAGTGGGAGCACTTTTGCGTCTGGCATGCCTCTCCTAAGCACTTTATGCACTTAAAGTGCCTGTATGGGCATAGCATCTCTTAAAGCTGCGCATGAGGCGCCCAGGGGGAAAGCGGCGGGCCACAACTGAAGAATTTTTTTTTTTAAACTGACTGTGTAAGGAGAAAAGGGCAAAAAACTTGATGCTAAGGAAACTAGGGAGTTAAACGAGATATTTATCTATTTTTAAACAGGAACGAAGAACTCAGGGGCTGCATCTGCTGCCGAGAACGGTAGAGAAGGAACTGAGGAGTCATGCCACGCAGGCGCCTTAGGATTCCAGCAGCACTAGAGGGTGCTCTAGCGCCTGCATGGCATGGCAGAAATTGCTGGAAAAAGTCTCCGGTCGCTGGCATGAGGATGCACCAGCACCCAGAGTGGAACACCCACGGGGACCACTCAAAGAACCACCTAGAAATAGACAAAAGGGGATGAATGACATGATTACCTGTTCCGTTCATTCCCTCTGAAGAACCTGGCATTGATTCTTGTTGGAAGACGGGATACTGGACTAGATAGATCTTTGGACTGACCCAGTATGGCTCTTCGGTTGAAAGCTCGTCTCTCTCACCCAACCGAAGATTAAAGATATCTCATCCATCTTGTATTATGAAATATGCATGTCCATTAGAGGAACAGCCCTTTCCCTCCACCCCACAAAGGGGTATAATTTAAAAGCCAGGGATCTCAGTTCTGCTGTATCAACTAAAATCTCAATACACTAACTACAAACAGAAAATTAAACTGTAACTCTCTTCATACATGTGTATTTTACTGGAGGTAACACTACAGCTACACTAATTAACAAGCAACTAGAAAGAGACACTACTTTTTCTGGCTGTTTTGCCTATAGAAATTCAAAAAACTGAATGGCAGTTGTGCTCTTATAACCTCAGGAAGGGAGCATTAGGACATAAAGAGCACCATCGTGACCCCTTCAAATATCATTAGTGAAAATGTTCTGATACACTGTAGTGCTGTGCCCACAGACCGTGAATGGGAGCAAGGTATGCAGTAGATGAAGAGGAAAGCCTAGTTTGAGGATCCCACAAGGACATTGGGGTGCATACTCACAGGCAGATTTTTAGGTGCCTATGGGACTCCATTGACAGAAGTATAAGCATTTATAGGGCTAGGCAGCAGTGGAGCAAAGATTTTGAGGATCTAAAATTTGTAGTTAGGTGAATAAAGTGGCAGACGTGTACTTACATTCCGTTGTAGACCTAGCACAAATAATACACCATTTATCAATTTTGCAGTTCACATGCTGCTGATTTACTTTTTTCCTGATTAAAACTTACTTTCTAATTTTACTTTAATGCTCCTGCCCCCACTAATTTGACTTTTTCTATTTTTGTTTTTAAGCTATTATCCATCATGTTATGGGCCGTTTCCCCTCTCCCACAGATAAGGCTGTTTGTCTTTTCACTGACAACAGGAGAATGATACAATTGTACGTCACAAGAACAAGTTTTAAAATATATATAATAAATTGCCATCCCATCCTTTTCTCTCATTTTCATAATAAAAGGCTAAAATAATCAGCACCATAATTTTAAGGAACCTGTCTACTCATTTTGATAATCTTTATAATCTGGATGAATGTCTAGATCAGTAGTGGGCAACCTGCAGCCTGGGGGGCCACATACCGCCCACTGGGTTTCCCACCTATGGTCAGCAGACCCCTGTCTGTCCCCCTTCCCCTACTGGGACACTGAAGCCCTGCACTTCCTACTCCTCCCTCTCTGTAACAGCAGTTTAGGAGCACCATGAATCTGTACATTTGTGTTCATTCTCTGCTCCTCCTCCTTCCCCCCCACAGAGCTTCAACACCACAAATTGTTGTTTGTGTCTGTTCAAGCTCTGGGAAGGAGATAGAGAAGTGGAGACAGAATGCAAATCAGTCCATTCACATGGCACTCAAAGTGCTGAAAGAGAGAGAGAAGAGTGAGTGAGTGCAGGGCTCCAGTACCCCAGTGTGTGAAACAGGCATGGAGGAAGGAGTAGAGTGGGGGTGCATGGGCCACAGAGTGCCCACCACTGGTCATGCGGTCCATTGAAAGGTCATGAGGGCCACACATGCAGCCTACGCACTAATCTTTGTTGTGTATCGCTAGTGTAGGTAGTATACTGTAATATTCTAGCGCCAGAGCATTATTATACAGACATTTTGTTTGTTAAATCAGCAGTATTTTAAGTACTTAGACTTTTGCTCCATGGATGGGGAAAAAATGTTCTTGTTCTTTGTGAGGAAAGGGCAATCTGAAGTAAAAGACAATCTGAATAGGGCTGCATTGTTAATTTATTTGAACATTTTATATGTTTATTAGTCTAAACATGGCATAGAATCATAGAACACTAGAACTGGAAGGGACCTCGAGAGGTCATCGAGTCCAGTCCCCAACCCTCATGGAAGGACCCAGTAACATCTAGATCATCCCTGATAGATGTCTATCTAACCTGCTCTTAAATATCTCCAGCGATGGAGATTTCAAACACTGGAATAAGTTGCCTAGGGAAGTTGTAACTACCCTGACAGTTAGGAAGCTTTTCCTAATGTCCAACCTAAACCTCCCTTGCTGCAGTTTAAGCCCTTTGCTTCTTGTCCTATCCTCAGAGACTAAGGACAACAGGAATACTATACATTTGCGTACAGACTACAGAGTATTTCCTTCATACTTTGTATTACACTATACATTTTTTATAATAAAGTTAAAGATAATATCTCCTTACCATAGTTGAGCGCCTCCGGAGCAGTCCATTTGATAGGAATCTGCTTTAAGCCTGAAGATGAATATACCCCATCATCCTCTTGACGAGACATTCCAAAGTCACTGATTTTCAGAACATTATTTTCACCTACCAGGCAGTTCCTTGCAGCAAGGTCCCTGAGTTAGATTAAGACACAGAAAACCTTTTAGAAATTAAAAGCATTGCTTTTACATTCATAATGTATTTATACTGAGATGTGGAGAGAAACAGCTTCAACCATTTCCCACCTTCTTTCTATTACAATGAAACCTATTCACAGTGAAAATTCATATTTCAGAAAACACGCCAAGGCTCCTGGAGAGGCACAAATATTTCCATATGTAACCCCCTTTTTCCTCCTCGGGTTACTGGGGAGCGGGTCACACTCACAGGTGTGCCTGGGCGCCTGGTGTTTTAACCCAAAAAAGATCCTGAGTACCCCAGTGGTGATGGTGTTTAGCTGGGGAAAGCCCTATCCACCCCCTTGCTGCAGTCCCTTGCTAGCAATGAATGTAAAGTGGCAGTGCCTCCACCTGGCTGGCCTTGTACACACACTGGTGCCTTGAGAGCCTCCAGGAATATACTCATTCCAACATAAAGCTGGATCTAATTCCAGAACAACTACAAATCATGTACATCTAATAGAATACTTTAGAATAAACCATCTTTACTTAACTAAACAGGGATGAACAGATTAGCAAGGAATAGCATTAACAAAACTCATAACAATAACTGAAGCTTATATAGCTAGACAACAGTGACCCCACCGCAGAGTGTGCACACCCTTAGACTCAGTTCCAGACACTTGCTTGCGTTGGGGCGCTGATGTTGCAGCTGTAGTGAGGATTTGGTCCAGGCTAAACAGCAGCTCTGTCCCAGGCAGCACTCTTCCAGCAAGGCCCAAACTTACTGCCTCATGCTGTGCCTATAGGAAGCAGCCTGCTAACTCCCAGTTCCAACAGGCATGTAGTAGCTGCACTCCAACAGCCCCTGCACTGGGTCAATGTCCTTGGCAGCAGCCTGGCTTCCCCTTTGGTTCCAAACTGCAAGGCAGAGTCCCAGACTGCTAGGCCTCTTCTTCAAGCACATGGAGAGAGCCTCCTCTCTCTCTCTCACAAGTCCCTCCTACCTCTTTTGTTCCAATGGCTCATGGGAATTGTAGTCTGGATTCTAGCACACAGCGTCTTTTAGAATAAAACAGAGGCCCCTTTAGTAAGGGGACTACACATATAAAAGAAAAAATAAACATATACAGGGCAATAATATGCTATGCCCAGATTGCCCAGCAGGCTTGTTTGCACTATGTTTACTTGACAACAGACCAAATTTGGTGCAGAACATAACAGAGCTCAGAGAGGAAGCTGGAAAGCTAGTTCCTATGACCATAAAAAGAACTAGAGAGGCTGGAAAACCATTTTTTACCACAGCACGGTCAACACTGAGTTCGATTAAAAAGAAATAAAGCTGATCTTTACCCACTAGATTACGGGTTTTTGAACTGCCAATGGAAGAAAGGAAAAGTAAAGCCACTCCCATAAGAAACAAAGATTAAATATTTCCAAAATTTGTATTATCTTAAGTTCTATAAGCACAGCTTACAGTCAATATTGTTTAAAGAAAAAAAAGTAATTATTTGAAAAACACACCTTTAAAATAGAAAATTACAAACAATAATTCCTTAAAAAGTTATACCACCTAATAATTTATAAGGTTTGTTTTAATCTTAGATTTATATACTAACAAACAGGTTGCTATGCATAATAATCAATAGTTCTTTGAGTAGTGTGCGCTCCACTATAGATGTATGTGTGCCCAGTGCCTCAAATCAGAGATTTCTGGTAGCAGTGTCCATTGAGCCTGCACATGTGCTCTCCCTCCTGGTCTGCCCCCAGGTGGCTCCCCACATGTGCCTGCTCCTGCCTACCTCCCTTCCCCCGTGCTGTGTTAGAGACAACAATGCAGGTGGGGGGTGGCCCCACAGGAGCCACTGCTTGTGCCTGCCCTCCCATGTTGCTGCATCCTTTTTTAAAGACAAAGTAATTCTAAGGCCATATTTAAGTTTCTCCTTACTATCACTGCATTTGCCATATGAATCAATCTAGATCCATCTCCCTGTTTTTTCCCAAACCCACTTTGTGACACTAGGAAGATGATTCTTTATATGCTACATGTTAGAAGAACATTAGCATTCTACTTGGAGAGGACTAAGGACATTGGGAAATCCTCTAAACTTTCTTTTAGCCAAAGAAAGATCCCAAAGCTCTGTAATACTGGCTCAAAAGGGTCTCTGCTTACATTAATCACTGTTTTCAAGGGCACAATATGCTTCTGTCCAGAGTCCATATGCACTCTTTGAGGTCAGTTTCTATCTTCGTCATATTCCGTACAGATACTCCTATCTCAGTCATCTGTAGAGCAGTGATTTGGGCCTCTGCTCACACACTCACAGAACATGTGGTCACTGAAGATTCAGCCCCCAACACCATCTTCCACTCTATAGTACTCTATGTAGTAACAGACTCTATTCCAAGTCCCAGCCTCCAGTGGCGAGTACTGCTTGAGAGTCACCTATAGTGGTGCACCCATAGGGACACTACTCAAAAAAGAAGAGGAATTTACTCACCTTATGCAGTAACAACAATTCTTCGAGACGTGTGTCCCTATGGGTTCTCCACAACTAACCCCCCTCCTGTCTACTTCAGAGTTCTCTATACAACTCTGCAGTGGAGAAGGAAGGAAGGGGCTTTTGCCCAAACAGTGCTAGATAGTCTTGAGGCAGACCACGAAGGAGGTAGAGCACATGAACAGGATCAATAGACACTGCTCCCAAAAATCTCTGATTAGAGGCACAGAGGCGCACATACTCCTACATTGGAGCACCCACAGGGACTCGCATCTCGTTGCAGTAACAGTGGTTGAGTAGCACTCTCTCTCTTTGAAGATAACTATTTCTCTAAATTATGGTTTGTTTATATTATTCCTTGGAAGCTGGGCAACCAGTAGAAGGTATGAAACATTCATTCATCCCTGGGTCTGATCCTACTAATCTATCACCATTGTAAATTAGGAGAATCTCCACTTAAGTCCATGAAATCGCACTAGTTTTAAAAGTGGTTTGTAATCAGAATCAGATCCCATCTCAGCAAATATTCAGATTTAGAGGCATCTCAAATTATATAAGAGTATACTGTGACTGGTATGTGAGAGAGAATTGCAAAGCAAAATCCAGAGATTCTCATTTCTGTACTTAATTACATAAGAAGTGTCCCAAACAGTCTCAAGAGTGATGGTGGTTGTTATTGCCATTGTCTTCAACAGGACCAGGATTGCACCTGAGGTGAATGCAGAGCGAGAAACAGAAATCAACAGTCTCTGGAGGGAAGTCTGAAGTGCTGATTAATAACACAGGAATCTCTTTAACTCAATCAGTCCTGAACTTTAAAAATATTTTGTGTTTGAGTTGAAGAGAAGCTATAGTTGAGCTAACACCTGAGTTCAAAAGCTCTTGAAACACCTTTGGACTCGGACTACGTCTCCTCTAATCTTGATTTCTTCATACTGACAGTGGGACCAAAATCTTTGCTGGTGTTACAGGTTAAACCTCTAAAATCTGGGGGTGCATCTAGACTGGCATGATTTTGCACTAAAATGTCCGCTTTTGCGCAAAATCTTGCCACCTGTCTACACTGGCCACGAGTATTTGCGCAAGAACACTGACTTTGTAATGTACAAAATCAGTGGTTCTTGCGCAAATACTCTTAATGTTCCCGCTCAGGGATAAGCTATCTTGCGCAAGAGGGCCAGTGTAGACAGCAAGTTAATTTTTTGCGCAAGAAAGCCCGATGGCTAAAATGGTCATCGGAGCTTTCTTGCGCAAGAGAGCATCTACAGTGGCAAATCTTTTGCACAAAGGCACATGCCAGTATAGACGCTCTCTTGTGCAAATACTTTTAACGGAAAAACTTTTCCATTAAAAGTATTTGCGCAAAATCATGCCAGTCTAGACGCAGCCTGGGACTTGTCTGGCAACATCCGTGGTCCACCTGGACCCTGTTCAGGGGCTGGGCTGGTAGTGGGGAGACCAGCTCTGACCACACTGTGCCGCTGTAAGAGTAAGGAATACAGTCCTGCCCAGGCCGGAGGCACCAGGATGGTGGTACCTGGGAGCACAGCCTTGGCTGAGGCTGGCACAGCAGGGAGCGCAGTCGCACCCAGACTGGAGACAGCAGGGCCTGGTGCTCAAACAGTATGTCCTTGGTCTTCCTCTTTCTTCTAATATAGTTGTAGAATATCTTCTTGTACCCTTTATGTCTCTAGCTAGACTGAGCTTGTTTTGTGCCTTTGCCTTTCTAATCTTGCCCCTGAATACCTGTGTTATTTGCTTATATTCATCCTTTTTTAATTTGACCTAGTTTCCCCACTTTTTATATGATTCCTTTTTATTTTTAGAGCATGTAAGATCTCCTGGTTAAGCCAAGGTGATCTCTTGCCATATTTTGTATCTTTCCTATGCAGTAGAATAACTTGCTTTTGAACCCTTAATGATGCATCCCTTTGAAAAACTACTAGCTGTCTTCAGTTGTTTTGCCTTAGTCTTGCTTCTCATGAGACCTTACCTACCAACTCCCTGAGTTTACTACAATTTGCCTTCCCGAAATCCATTGTCTCTATTTTGCTGTTCTCCCTTCTATCATTCCTTAGAATCATGAACTCTGTGATTTCATGATTTTTTACCCAAGCTGCCTTCCACTTTCAAATTTTCAAGCAGTTCCTCCCTAGTTGTTAAAATCAAATCTAGAACAGCTTCTCCCCAGTAGCTTTCTCAACCTTTTGAAATAAAAAATTGTCTCTTTGAGACTAACAAAATATATTTGTTAGTCTCAAAGATGCCACAGGAATACTTGTTCTTAAAGTTATAGACTAACAAGGCTATCCCTCTGAGACTGTTGACTCCTATTTAGCTTGTGGTCCTCTGACCCCCAGATCCCTTTCTGTAGTGCTCCTTCTTAGACACTCTTTTTTTCATTTTGTATGTATGCAACTGATTGTTCTTTCCTAGTCTCTGCTAATAGTTTTATGAGTCAACAGTTTAACACCCGCCCCCGAAAAAAACACCCCCCCACATCATTCTAGGATG